TAAAAAAAATAAAAAAATACAAATAAAAAAAAAATAGTGCAAGAAGCAACTGAGTAGAATAGATTAGAACATGTTTGCAGATCATGTTGCAAGACCAATGTCCAAGTAATTCATTGGGTATTCCAAGGACCAAACCCTCAGTCTGTGCAAAAAGGCCCACTTAAACCATCAACAAGTTCAAGCTTATTCTCTGGAAACACAATTATTGTTCTCATTTGAGTACCGCCAAGGATGTCTGAGGCTTTCATGTTCACCACAGCTTAATTGGTTTTCACTTGAACATTCTTCCCTGGTATGCAGTTATCTGATGTACCATAGAAAACAAACATCCTGTGCCATTCCCTTTCTCTCTTTCTGTCACCTCCAACCCTTTCTACAATTACAAATGTTATTGCTCAGTATACAGGCGTTATCATTGACATATCTTGCGTCCACCATATGACTGCAGAAGTACAAAACAGTAATTTAATTGAGGGGTCAAGGTGATTATTAAGCTGTACACAGCCATGTCTGACAGAAAGGCAAGTTCAGTGAACCCCACTTCATATTAGATGAAGGCGGTGATGTACAATCGCAGAGGTTAAAGTGAGCATGGCACACTCAGCTGTGGAACACACGATGCCACAATCACCAGGATGCAAGTTGGGCTTTGTCATATTGAGAGTTTTAACACTGTGATGAATGGATAATGAAGGGTTTTCTATCCAGCTAACACAGCAGGACTTTGCAACAAAGTTGTGTCCTGGACTATATTTAGGTCCTCATTCAACAACTGCTGCTCGTCAGACACACACTTCTTTATGTTATAAAACTATGCATTGTCTGCCTGGCTAATCTTATGCAAGAATATCTCATCTGTTAACAATATACACAGTGTATGCTACAGCAGAACAAACTGTGTAATTAGTCTATTTTGAGCAGATGAGAGCGAGCATTTAGTTGTTTCGTATAGCAGTGGCACAATAGGTGAAAACGACCATATCTAAGTGTTGAGATTGAACCATACGTTTGCTATTTTGTGTCAGGCAACATCAACATGTATTGGTAACTAGCACTTTAATACACCTTGTGTGTTGATTGAGAATGACAGTTCAGCTGGTGGCCTGTCTGACGCTCCATGTTATGCAGTTATAATTGACATCTGCCAGTCAATTAAAAAAGTAATTTTATTGCAACAGGCTAACATTTACTGGTAGATGCAGACATATTCACCGATCTGTCCATCATGAGTTACTTTGCTAATTGCATTTCATTTAGATGTTACCTACACTCATTATTTCCCAGATTGCACAGTATGTCCCAAATTTGAATCGTTTTGTAAATAAGGGTCAGTAAAAGGAACAGATGCAAAAAAAGTCAAGTCATATAATCCCTCAAAGAGCATGATAACTGCTTTGTATTAAAACGTGCAGCTTCTAAGACACATAACGTGTGTGAATAGTCTCCAATCTTCGCGGCTGCTACACGATCTTCTGTCTGCTTCTACAAAGAACACTGTGCGTTCGGAATAATTTGATTCACTTATGGGAGTAAGATTCTATATAACATTTGCTGATTTTGAGTATCCAGTGTGTTCTCAAGAAAATGAGCTTTGCACTACATATACACACGGCCTGAATTGATATGCATGATTCAATGTAAGGCCATTTTTGCCAAATATGAAAATGTTCTTCCTAAAACCAAGGCCTATCACTTGCCCAGTGCTGCTCTTAGTTCCTAAAAGTATCAGAGCACATCAGGCCTTATTACTTTTCCTATAACTATAACACCTCCATTATCATGCTGATGCGTGAGGTACACATAAAACAATGTAGGAAAATGATTGAGCATAAAGAAATCCATTATGTAAAATAGAAGCTCTGCTGAATGTCATTTATATCCTCAGGGACTGAGCCATATCTCGCTTCCTCTGGGTTTAATTCGACTCCTGTTCTTTTTCGAGAGAATCTAAACTTTGGCCTCTATCTCCGTCCGGAAGCTAAGAGCCCAGGCGAATGAGCTTTCCGAGTGCTGCTTTTGAGGTCACTTCTGTTTGCGCGCAATTGGATGTCTCGCTAGCCTGTTTCCTGATAAGAAAGGCTTTTCAGTTTGCACCTCATCCGCTGATCTCGCGGTGTATGAATGCGGCAGGCATTGTCATAAGTTAAACACCTGGGCCACACTGCCATGCTGCAATCTGCAGAATGGGACTAAATTATAGAGCTCATCTGGTTGACAGTCATGTTGCTGCCAGTCCATACTTTCTCTGTCGCTCTCTGGTTTTTGTGTTTGTTTACTAGGTGTTTCCTGTATGGAATTATCTGCAATTGTACTTTCCTCTCTTTTTTTCGGGCGGGTAAATATGAGTATTTGCTGAAGAGAATCCATTGTGAAAATATTATAACTTTACTGGGCTTTCAAATTATAACCAGCAGACCGCTGGCACATTCCAAAAAGAGCCATTGTTTTATTTATATAAAATATACATTTATTAGTTACAGAATTAACAATAATCACTTAAAATCTCTAAGAATTGGGACGGTACTGCTACTGACATTTTTAAGGATGAATACTGATGACTCTTTGTCAAGTTGTAGGTCACTGGCAGAATGAGGAAGCGATGTTAGAATGTGAGGCTGACACGTGTCAAACATGTCTGTGACATGTTTGACATTTTATTTCCAGGGGTGGGTTTACATAGGCTTACTTGAGCTGAATATGTTGCCTTGGGTGAAATAGAATGACATTGTAACTGTCACGTACTGCGCGTGTGTGTACGTTTGTGCACGTGTGTCGGAGATTGGCGTGCCCCCTCTTAGTTTATCACAAACAATTAATGACACTGGCAATGATACGTGAATCAGTTTAGAGGTTATTTCCATTTTTGATAGACCATTATCTCTTTCCCATGCTCCTTTTGCCAATTCCCGTGCACATTAAAAGGGCCCTATTATGTTCATATTTGTATTTTTTGTCTGTACTGTGATATGTTTACATGCTTTAATGTTCAAAAAGTGCTTCATCTTTGTCATACTGCCTGAATACATACTAACTCAATGCCAACATTTAAGGTGAAAACTGTGGCCACCAAAGGCTGGTGAAACTTTTCAAACTGACACAATGAGCTATAGACCTGCCTGTCGTAGCTAAACATGTATTGTTTTCAAAGATATGAGAGGGATCTAGTGCTCCTATCAGCATCATCGCAATTTACGACTGCTTCTGAGAGAGGGGTGTCATTTCTTACCTCGCAACAACTCGTCCTTGTCAGAAACACTTTCATTAAACCCTTTGAACAAGCAACCAATGTTATCGTTTCTCATTTGGGAATAGTCTTAACCTTGAGGTTGAAGCATCAATGAGGCCATGAAATGACAGCTGACAGAGGCTAAGAAAAAGATCCTTGTCGATTCAGACAGCCACAAGAGAACAGTATAAGTCATGGTAAAATCTGATGAGTTCAAGTAAATAGGGATAATGTAAATCTGTTGGAGGCAACGATGCACTGATCTTTGCAAATCCATGCTAACTGGGGTATTGGAAGGACGGCGGTTGACGATGCAGTAATTGGCAGTGACCATTGAAGATTGGGCAATGAGTGAACAGTATGTCTTCCACAGAGTGTGATCCGCTGGAAGTAACATATTGTGAATCTTGAACAACTTTCTTTGTCCACTATGTGGCGAAAGAGAACATTGCTTACATTATGTACTGTATCAAGTGTAGACTTCACAATGTACAGTTTTTGTATATCGTTGGATGTTTGTCACATAAGGGAAAGTCCTCAGGCTTTAACCCTTATCCATGCATGTGAGATTTGGGGCCATTTGGACCATTAGAGTAACACCAGCTTCCTGTTTATGTTGAAATGTGCAACATCTTCCTTCTACCTTGAGCCCGGATGTACATCTGCTATGCCCCAGTGGAGAAAGAAAAGAGACAGAAAGTGCAGATGATCTAGAGACACTTGCATATTTTTGTACGTGTTAAAAGCCTTTCAGGCCGGTACCACCTGCCTAAACTGATTTAAATGATCCTTTCCTACTCCTCTCTGCTCTGCAACCTGTAATTTCAAATAATGTGTTTATTTTCCCCTTGAAGATGTTTTGGTTATGGATCAGTGGTTGCAGAATGCTGCTATTGTTTACAGTTTAATTTGAGTGCATGGAAAGGTGACATGAATCCCAAGACAGACATAACACTATCCCTGGTGTAGAACACACTGAGTGTAACTGCCATAATCAGTAAGGAGCTGTTCTCTCCCTCACTGGTTTGTGTAGATGCAGGTAACCCCGGACAACCTGACAATGTACACACATTAGAGGCAGGCAGGAGAGGGGTATGATTAATGGTTCTCAATAAGGACAGGCCCCAGAGGAGAGAGGACTGGAGCAGCAGTGCTTATAAATCCCAGGGATTCTCTGAGGCGTAGAGGGGGTGGAGGAATAGTTTGATTTAGAATCTGGAGTAAGTGATGGGTGAAGCAGAAGAGCACAAGCAGGACTCCAATTTGGTGGTATTTCACAAATTCCTCACTGAGAGAAAACTTCTATTTCGCAGGCTAAAGCATCTCCATACCGTTACAAAAAAAACCTTTTCTACTCTGTCAGCTGCAGTGTTGCTAATTTGTCCCATGAGATTGAGATTCTTTGAAATCATCTACAGTGACAAGTGAGAGCAGCCTCCCTATCTATTACAGAGAAGTCACACATCCTCCACTCGCTAACTTTCCTTTGTAAAGCCTTTTTCTCATCTCGGAAATTGGAAGTTTCTGTAGTCTAAACGGAGGGGATCTCTTTTGATTTTTGGTCAATAATATGTTTAGATTCCCCGTTTGAAGTCCAGTTAAAAAATATCCTGAATAAACGTGGGTGAATGGCGCTGTAGATGCCATGCAGGGAGTGATTTGACGCGTCCAAACACTGTAAATTGATGTGGTCTTGCTGTGAGGGAACCCCCGCTCTTGTAATGTGGACCGTTCCTCCGTTCCTCCACATCCAGGCGAGGTGAGCACAGCGCCAGACGGACCAGAGCGGGTTGTGTGTGGATAAGCAGCAGAGGAGCGCACGGCTGAGGACTCTGTAGCGCAACTCCAAACACAAATGGATATTTACGTGGCTTTGTTTTCTCTTTTCTTTTTTACCAAACCAGGTAAAGAACACGCTGCTTGTGGCACTCTATGATCACAATGAGGATTTCTGGTGCGACTGATAAGCGCTCCTTATGGTCTTTTCTCAGTTTGCACCTTGCGCTTGAGCTTGTCAGGTGTTTATGGTAGTGTCTCTGAACTGTATTGCTTTTATTTATTTATTATGTTAACTTCAGATTCAAAAAATGAAATAAAATCAGGGTGCGTTTATGTTAAAAATAGATAGGACTTTTTACCTTAACGTGGAGGCACCGTGTCCGTGGGGAGAACAGGTGTTCGCTGCGGGCAAATACGGTGCATGTTAGTGCGCACTATAGGCAATACCCTGCGTGTACATAAAACAGCGTGACTTTCCTCCAGAACTCCATTTTAATCAGTGCAATGCACATACGCAGTGCAATAACTGTGGAGTTTAGTTTAAACCCTGACTGTTAATCTTTCAGCTCCCCTAACCTTCATCTCTCTCCCGCAGCTTTGGCTTTTGGATCAGATCAAGACTACCAGATTGATATCATCAACGAACTTGACCTGGCAAATGCCACCTATGGAATTACTCAAGTGGCAGGGCTTCACAACAGCAGCAAAGCCTTTCTCTTCAGAGGTAACGCACGCACACACGCACGCTGACAATTTCTTCCTCATTAGTAGCGCTGCTCAAGTTCCGAAATGTCTTTGTCTTCTGTGCCGTGGCTGTGAACACACGCACACTCACGCCCGTTGTTTCATTAGTTAGTGTGAGCAAATCCATACCGTGCCACACCTTTTAGTGTCACAGTATTAGCTGAGACACAACACTCAGGGGAGCCTCCTCATAATTACTCCACATTGAATCTGTCCCAAGCAGCAGATGCTCGGCTCGGGCTCTTCCTGGACACACTGGAGTGCTCTTGTCTGTGTTGGATTACTACAGCATCTTCAATGGCATCCAGTGTAATCCCAACAACTGGTGGTCAAAGGGTCTATCATGTGAAAGGACCCTGAAGGGCACACATTTTAGATTTTAATTTCAAAGCCAGGCATCATGATGGGAAGAAAAGCGTGGCAGAGTATTAACTCTATTGATAATAAGATGTGTTACCAGTGTTAGAAGGTCATTTGTTTGCTTCTCAGCACTCTATAAAGGACTACAACATATTTGTTGGTACTTCTTTGGTATGTCTGCAGTGCCCTAAAAGAGGATACATGTCAAGAAAGTGATTATACAGAGTTGGAGACAGAGGGGAAGAGATCCCGATGACTGCTCGAGAGAAAGACTGTTCTGTTTTGGTCCTGCTTGGCTGCACTTCCCGACAAACTGCCAGGAAAATCAGCAGTGAAAATGTTATCATCATATTTTAAACTTTGTGTAATTAATGTAGGTTTGGCTCAGTTTTCGGAGGCAGTATGATTTAGATTCACATTACACCATTCAATTGTCTCAGCTTGCTTTCCCCAACTGTATGTTATGTTGGTGAGAAACACTAAGTCTCTTTCTACTTTTTTGGCATGAATATATTCAAATTCAAAGATACTGGCACCAACACCAGCAGCCTGAATCCCAAATAAACTGCACTGGGTGTTGAATATCGGCAGAATGCTATTGTTCGAGTGTGTGCTTTTATTTTCTAGAGTGTTTGGCTCCATGTACCACTGGCTCTGTATGAATGAACGCAGGGCAGCTTGGCCAACTCTGCCGAGGTGAAGCTGTCCAAGATGCAATGCTGAAGGCACTAAGGGATACACAACCTCACATTTTACTTGGTACACACACCCACACACACACTCATAGCTGCTCTCCATAACCAGTTTTTCTTCAGGTGCTGCAGGCAGATAGTGTGGGAAACAGGAGATTAATCCAGTAGGTAAAATGGACCTGTGAGTGTTGGACAGGATGCTACTGTTGTGAGTGACCTATTTAACACTTCGCCCACACTTGTGCTGCTTTCATGGCCCGTTGACCCAGATGGATCCACAGCACAACCACAGCCAAAGTTACCCCAACTACCAAGTCCTTTTTGAAAAAGTTTGAGGGAAGTTTATCTTGTAAAAGGCTTGTAACAGACAGGTCATGATTACCGAGTGGAAGCTGTGCTGGAGCCCCTGTGGCTGATTGGGTCAGTGATTATTCAATATGATTTATGTACGCTTTATCCAATCTTGTTGTGCCCTGAGCTCAATATATCATATTTCATCAGTGTGATTGCATAAATTGCTGTGGAACATATTGTAGAGCTGGTCCAATGGCTTGGAAAAAAAAGGGCAATGTGGTGTTCCAATTAGTGTCAATAGCACTGAGAGAAAGAGAGAGAGAGGGCTCTGGCAGTGTCTTTGGCTGGACACTGGGACCAGTCTCTGCAGTCGCCCAGTTAGCCAGTCTTTCACAAACAACAGATGGTTTTCTTTAGGGAATAGATTTTCACCAGAATAATGCACCGTGCACTAATTGAAAGCCAGATCAGGGAAAGCGGACGTGTGGAGTTGCTGATTAAAGGTAATTGGGTAGATGTGTGTTATACACTCATAGAGTCTAATATATTTTGTATAGTTTTTACAAGATTGGTTTACATTGCAGGCATTTCTGTGATAAATACAGTTCAGTTTTTCAAGAAGGACACTGACCTACTTATTACATCCTTCATTGAAACCCAGATTGTCAACCTCGTTTCTCTGTCCCAATGTCGGGACCATAATGGTGAACATGATAATCACGATTATTTTAAAATTGATATTTAGAAAACAATTGTTTATCACGAATATTCATTGCTTTTATGGATGAAACATTTTCTGTATTTTCGTTTTGCTCCTCTACTGTTGTATTATGACCCTTTTACCATGGACTAGAGCCACAACATAAAGGATAGTCCATGAGCAGAGCACACATTTTAAGCATAAATATGTCAGTCAACCATGTTCATTTAATAACGGTAAGCAGAACGTGTGTTTGGGACTAGTTATATATTAATCATGCAGCCCGACCCAATGTTAAATGATGTTCAATGCTATCCAATTGTATTTTGTTATCAAACTGTGGGTACATATTGGATCTGTTGACCTGTCAGTTTTTTCCAAAGTGAAATAGTTCTTATATAAACAGATGCAAGCGCTCCAATCGTACAGTGCTAGAAAACTGCTCAGTTCTTGGAAATATGCCATTTTATATTACAACTGAACAGCTATCGGATGTTTTATGCATGACATTTGGTTCAGGGACATTCTTGGTTCCCAGATACTTTTTTTTCCTAATGTTTAGCTGATAGTATTGAGCCTTAGAGTATATCTACATGGCACCTGGTTGAGGACCTCAGTCAGGACTTGTCCACATTATATGTGACTGGTCAGTTTTTTGGCCTGTCACTTTAACTGCAGATCTATATTAAGAAGACATGAACATCATTAATAACTCAGAAGTCATGATGATTGAGATACCTTAGTTAATGCATTAATTAAGGTATTGTTCCTGCATTAAGTCATGCATGAGATACTATTCATCCTTGTACATTACTGATAGTTCATGAGGTACTACATCAATGAATTCATGCTTTTTTATGCATGAAGTCATGATGATTCATGTACCCTTGCCATAAAGTGTTACCATACATCACCAGTTGGCAAAGTTTGGTTAGGCTAATTGTACATGACAAAAGTCAAAATATAATGATTTCTTCAAGTAATAACTTCTTGAAAGATAAGTCCTGACAATTTTAAAACAATTTAAAACAGCTTTTCAGAGTCAAACAAATTTAAGGGGATTAGAGCCATTTTCGCTGGCGTTAAATTCCGAAATTTTAACTCAAAACAATAAAATTGTACTTTTTATCAGATCTCATAGAAATATTACCATTTGGCCCTAATCCTCTTCCGTACAAACTGAACCAAATCTACTTTATTTTAAACGTTAACTCCATCCTGGTTATTTTAAATTCTACTGAACACATTTAAGAGGAACAACATGTAGGCAACCCAGCAACTGTAAAACCTGTCTTGTCAGTATATTCGACTCTCTTACTCAAAATCATTATTGTTAAACAGTTAAATGGTAACAACAAATGCAACCTTGATCCTGATATCGCTGAGATCTTTAAACACGCCTCTTATCAGGCTTTAAGGCCAATTATCCTTAACATATACCAACTCGGCAGATTGGTTTTAGGACTGAAGTGGTCCTTAATTAGCATTTAATCGACCTTCCTGTCGATTCTAATCAAAACGTTTTTTCTAACCTCATTTAAAGCTTAAATCCTCACTGAAACAGCTCACTACTGTCCAATAAAGACCTATAGCTGATGCACATTGCATGCCTGAGTCCATAGTTTGTTCTAATTGTGCAGGTAAAATCGGGATATGTTAATCAAACTACAATGGAAATTAATGGTAAAGAAAGATGCCAGCAATGTTAGACGGGAGTCTTTTTTCCAGCTCAGACACTCTGAAGTGATTTATTTTTAACAACTTAAGGGAGTAATCTATTGTAGGACAGGAAATGCTATGAAATAAATGACGATGATGCAGCACAGAGTTACAGTAAGTACCAGTTCATCTCTCTATCTCTCTAAAACAGAGGCATGGCTTATGATGTTCACTTTTGTGTTTAAGGTTTGTTCAAACTGCACCAAGCTCTTTCAGAATTTCTCTAAAACTCACCATTAGACCAACAAAGCAGTGAAAAAGTCTACAAATCCCAGAGAAAAAACAATTATATTGAAAATGATATGCAAGAGGTCGCTACTCTCTGTAACTTCCTGGAAATGCTTATTTTTTCTGCCACGTTTGATTTATCTGGGTCCGATTCTGGTTATAAAACATTTGTTCAAGCTTTCCAAGTCCAAGACCTTGTTCCTGTAAAACCATGACCCAGATGAATATCAAAACATTCAGAACACCACTGCTTTCACTCTCCTCATCTCACAATGCAAACTGTTGATTGTACAGCTACATTGTAGACTTTTCTTCGAAATGAGTACTCGATTTGCTGGAGCGTTTCACATTTTCCATTATCCCAAACAGACCACAGTGGTAATTCAGAGGTCACCTATTCTGGCGCTTGTAAAATCACTCAATTTCTACAATTGCTCACAGTTGAAAAAAAAAAAAACGTTTTCAAACAAAGGGCCTACAATTTAGCCAACAACAGAAAGAAAGTAACCACCTTCTGTATTACCACTCTGCCCTCCAAAACCATTCCCAGAACTACAGGAGCAAGACAATGGCATTTCTGATACACTTCTTAAGATGAGGTATATCTTGGTGAATGCCAATGAACCTGGGTTATATTTCTAACATAATGTAGACATTGAATCTTTCAGGTTTTTAGTTATGCTTCTCATTAAAGTATACCACAGTTTTTAAATGGTTTTATTAACCAATCCTATGAGTCCAAAACCAGGCTCCATCTCTCAATAATTTCCAATATCCCAATCCGGTCTGTGGCCTAAGCTCATTTGTTAGATGTAAAAGAAAAGGCATTAACCACGCCCCTTGCTATTAACATTTCTGTAATTGTTCAGTATTTTCTTCCAAAGCTTTTCTTTTTTTTTATCCAATCTTATTTCATCTCCACCTTTTTTCGTCACTGCTAAACTTCTGCACATCCCATGTTGATGCACATATCAGCTGCCAATCATA